GTATTGATGCACGTTCACACTCGTTCGTGGATTCGGCCAGTGGCGTGTCAGTCGCCTCTCTACCTGCGTGGGATGACAGTCTGATGTCCAAGGCTCCTTCAGCCCATGCGTGAGATCTTCCACGCTTTACCTGATACTGATGCAGCGGCGAGCCTGAGGCAGACCTTTTGGGCTCATCCTCTCTGGCTTGCTGTGGGATCCTCCCTGGCGTCTGGAGTTTCGTTGGGTTGTGCTGTGTCGACATTTGTTGATTCACCCCAATGGCAGATGGGGGGTCGCACCAAGTCGTTTGGCATTCGAGCTCCGTTTGTCGCCTGAGGACTTGCTCTAGAACATGGGACAAGGCTGAGGCGAATGCTCATGCAGACTTCTGGGAGCTTGCTTAAAGCTGATGGTGGGGTGGAATGGCAGTCGGCACCTGGCAGAACTGCTGAATCTGCCGGTCCAGCGACAGACAAAATGCGCTCAAAGGGCCAATTTTTTGGGTGACCGTGTTGTACATCAAGTATCGGCAAATAGGCGGAGTACATCAAGTATTGGCTTCGATCGTCGTGTTGGGGGGCGCAGGCAACTCTCATGGCGCCAACATCGCAGAGCGGATTCCGTTCGGAAAACTATGGGAGGGGCCCGAAGTGTCGTGGAGAACTTCGCTACAGATTTCGAGGTGCGTTTCGTGCGGATTTTTTTTTGGCCCAGAGTGAAAACTGCAAGACATCCACGCGTACTTCACTCCGTTTTTCCGCTCGCCGTTTCGGGGCTTTGCACGGAAAGAAATCCCCGCACAAATCCGCTGCAGCACGCCTGCGAGGTCGGTGCAGTGACAACTCCTGTGACCTCGCCTTCCCCTGGCGGGCGCTGGACGCTCCGAGTGTGGCGCCCGACCCTCGGGTGCTCGACCCGCTCATGCCGCCCTTGCCGAGCTCACGGTGGCCATGCTGCCTCTCGTCCGTTCGCCCCTGCTTGTCTTGGACGTGCGCGCTCGGCAGTAGCCTCGGCCATCGGCGTGCCAGTCGCCTCTCTGGCCCGCAGGAGATGCCAGTCTGCCGCCCAAGGCTTCCTTTCGCCGAGGCGCGAGGTCTTCCCCGCCTCGCCTTACCCGAGACTGATGCAGCTGGGAGCACGAGGCGCACACATCTTTCGGGCAGGTCCTCCCTGGCTTGCTGCGGGATGGGTGCTCGTGCCGACTCTTGGACACTTGCTTCAATGCTGAGGGTGTGGTGGAATGACAGTCAGCAACTGGCCACGACGATGCATCTATAGGTCCACCGACAGACGAGCACGCTCGAACGGGGCAGGGCCATTGAGGGGGATGGCTTGTCACCTGCTGGTTTTGCTAACGCTTGCCTTGCTGAGCTGCCTCCTCGTCGTCCTCGTCCTGCCGCTCGTCCTTTCTCCCTTTCCCTCCCTCTACTCTTCCTGTCGCTGCTGCGTTGTCGAATAGTTGTTCAGGCCACGTTTCATAGCATGAGTTTGCTTATTGCAGATCGGTTGATGCGGCGTTCTTGGTTTGCCTAGCGACCTTTTGATCAGCGATGTTCTTGTGGCACCCGTAGGTTTTGTGTAGTAAGCAAAATGTGGGAGATGGCATGTATTTTGTCCTATATCTGAAATCTGAGCAAGTCAATGAAACCACGCCTGTCATCAGAACACATCGACGTCATGATAGTTATCCCCACTTCGCCCCGGATTGTCTTGGACATGTTGGTCACATTCAGTACGATGGATGCGCGGTCACACTCGGCCGTGGATTCGGCCAGTGGCGTGTCAGTCGTCTCCTGGCCAGCATGTGATGAGAGTCTGGTGTCCAAGGCTCCTTCAGCCGATGCGTGAGATCTTTCACGCTTTACCTGATACTGATACAGCAGCGAGCCTGAGACAGACTTAGTTTTTTTGGGTACGTTTCGATCTGCCTTGACATCACTTTCCGAGGATATTGAGCCGCCCAGCCCGTTTTGCTCTCAGGGCAAGGTCATGACAATGCGCTAGCCGAGTTGCACATGCATGCTGTCCCCATGCGCAATTCGTCAATTCTTGATGCTTCGCGAATCCCCATCAGCGACGTCTACCGCTCCCTGTCCGCTGCCTCGGAGCCGCCGACCAAAAAAGTATCCCCATCAGCTCATCCATAAACCCAGGGGAGTTTTTTTGAGGTGCGGCGTAGAGAAGCATGCAGTGACGCAAGGCCCATCGGAGGACTCTTGAAGCCATCCTGTGGTCTTCTTGAGGCCCTCTTGGGGCCCTCTTGGGCATCTCTCGAGGCATCTCTTGGGGTCATCTAGGGGCTCTCTACTGACTATTTGGGCCCCCCTGAAGCGCTCTCGGGGCGCTCTTGGGTGCTCTTGGGGCCTTCTTGACCCCCCTCGGCCAGAGCCTCTTTTTTTGGACAGAGCCTCTTCAGTCAGTAACCTGTACGAGGAATAGCTCGGACTTGGCCCCAGGGAGGGGCGATTTTCGAGGGAGGCGCGCGACCAGGGGATGGGACGGCCCTGGAAAACACTACAGACACATTGCATTCTAACACGCCTTGGGAGACTCCTTCCAATAAAGCGGGCGCACCCCTCCAGTGGGCGCACGGCAGTGGCAAAAGTGCGAAGGGTGCCCGCGCGCCAGGGCGGTCCCAAGAGGCCTCCAAGACGGTCTACCAAGGACTCCAAGACCGCTCAATACCGCTCTGGGACGCGCACGATGGCCTCAAGACGGCCGAAGAGGCCCCCAATGCTCTCCTAAGAGGGCTCCAAGGGGACCCCCAGAGAGTCCCAAGAGGAAGAAACAGGTCCATTCCCAGGGCAAGGCATGTGTTTTTACTCGCCCCAGAGGCGCTCAGGGGAGGCCTTGTAGGAGCCCAAGACGGCCCTCGAGGCTCTCAAGACGCCCTCAAGAAGGGTGTTGCGATACTGCCAACAAGGGACACGTGAAGGACAGCGTCCTTGGCTTTTATTTGGGCCCAAGAGGCCCCAAGAGGCCCCCAAGAGGCCCCCAAGAGGCTCCCAAGAGGCCCCGAGAGGCCCCGAAGAGGCCCCGAAGAGGCCCCCGAGAGGTCCCCAGGAGTTCTCCCAAAGGCTTGCAATAATGCTCCAAGGAGCCCGAGGAGGCCCCCAAGCAGCCTCCTGGAGGCGCGAAGTGGCTCACTGGCCTGGCGTGCTGATCTGCCGTGCTGGTCTGGTCTGCCGTGCTGGCCTGCCATGCTGGTCTGGTCTGCCGTGCCAGTCTGCCGTGCTGGTATGTCCTGCTGGTCTGTAGTGCTGGTCTGCCGTACTGGGTTCCCATGCGGGTCTCTCTCTTCAGTATCGTTTAATCGATCCCTATCCCCATCCCCATCCACATCTCGAGCCCCACCGTCTCACCACCTCAGTTGGGGATATGCCCCTCGAAGCCCGAAGAGAGCAGCCCATATCCCCATTCAGAGGGGTACATCGGCCAGTGGGGCCCAACCCACGCTGGTGGGCATGGATCGGTTAAACGATGCACATCTCTCTCTCTCTCTCTTTCCCCGTCTATCTGGTTTTCGCTGTGCCTCGGCCTTGTGCCCCGTTCACTCGAGCACCATGGATTACGCGAGGCGAGGGGTCTTGCAGCGTAGAGGGGGGGGTATACCTCTCCCCGGGGAAGAAGGGGTTTTGGAAGAGGGACGAGAGGAAACGTTGTACCACCTGCGTCCAGAGTGCTGGGCTGGCGGGAGTCCATTGGGCGAGCAGATTGCGCTTCCTCCTTTTTTCCCCTCCTCGCCTTCCTTCTCCACCTCACTCTGGCCCCTCTCTCCCTCCCCCTCCCCCTCCCCCTCCCCCTCCCCCTCTTCCCCCTCCACCTCCACTTCCTTCCTTCCCTCCCCCTCCCGCGCCCCCTCCCGCGCGCGCGCGGGAGCGACGACGGTGACGCCTCCAGAAGCCGCCGCCGCCGAGGAAGACGAGGCCTCCGTGGCCCCCCAACTGCCGGAACACCTCGGGATTCTTGGTCTTCCATCCTCGACGGCGACGCCGACGACGACGAAAGCCGCCGCCGCCGACGGGGACGAGGGCCGCCGACGACGGCGGGGACTACGGCTCAGTGGCCCATCGGGCCGGCGGGATTCTTTAGGCGAGAACGCATTGATGACGACGGCCGAGTGGCCCACCGCGCTGGCGGGATTCTTCAGGCGAGTCGTCGATCATGTGGGCCTCGTTTCGAGAGGCGCCCAGCCAGTGTTCCGTTTCGGCGCTGCTGCACCCGAGGTGCTGTCGGCATCCGGGCTCTGGCAGAGTGAGGTCCCAGCGCACGCCGTCGTGGCCGGCAGTTCAGCGTTTGCTTGCCACTTTTCTGTGCTGATACACTGGGCAAGTTTGTCAGAGTTGGTTCACGGTTGCGAGAGTTCCCTGTTCAGTGTCTCTTTTCTGTGTTGCTGCTTTTGATGTGTCGGTGTCATCAGAGCATTGGCAAACCGATTTCTCCAGTGCTTGCCATCGTGGTTGGTCTCGTGAAGTCTGCCTGCCACTTTTCAGTGCTGGGACACCAGATTCATTAGGGCTTATGAAGAGGCGCGAAACTATTGCATAACCTGATTTCAAAGAGATAGCTGTCGAAATACTAAGTACGCCATTTGGCAGCTCTGCATGTCTATGTTGCTGCTCACAGCATCGTGAAGGCGGCGGCCGTGATCTGGCATCCTAAGATCACCAGTGTCGGTTGATTGCAGTATGTTCTTCTGTCAGTTCTCCAGGCCAGAACGCTTTGATTACAATCACTTCGATAGTGGCTGCCTAGTTTCGCAGGGGCGCTCATTTTTCTACATCTCCTCTTAGCATGGGCAGTATACATCGAAAGCCGATGACCACATAATGTCTGGGTGAGCTGTCGAAGCAATGTCGAACCGAGCGGCTTCTGTTCGTCCGCGAGGCTTTGTCCCTCCCCTCCCCACCCTCTCCATGCTTCGCCATCCCCCTTCTCCCGCCCCCCCCTCTGACTCAATTCTTCATCCCCCTCCGCTTCACGCCCCTTTGCTGCCATCTGGCAAGCTGCCTGCTGAGGTGCGCCCTGGCGCGGCCGTCGTTGCGGTGAACGACGTCTCCGCCGACGTCGGCATGATGCAGCTGCAGCTCACGAAGCCGAAGGCCAGAGGGGCCTGGGTGCCAGGGGGGAGCGCCTCCACGGGAGGCTGGCCGACCTCGCTCCGGGGAGGTTCGTGGCGTGCGCTGTTTCCCAGACCTGCTGCGTTGGGTTCCCGTCTTGAGTTCAGCACTGCGGTCTCCACTCCCGCTCCTCCCGCCTCCCTCCTGCTCTTTCCCATCTCCTCTCCTGCCTCCTGCCTGCCTCCTACTTCCTGCCTGCTTCGTACCCGTCTCCTAACGTGCCTGGGGGGCTGCGAAGTGTGGAAATGTCGACACTTTCGAAGGCTGTCCGGGGGCACAGCGCAGTGACGTCATACGGGGATTCAGATTGGACCTCGCCATGTCTGGGGGGCCGAAACTGTCGACACTTTCGAGGGCTGCTGGTGAGCCGTGCGCAGTGACGTCATACGTGGATTCCGATTCGACCTCGCCATGCCTTGGGTGTTGCGAGCTGCGAAACTCTCGCCACTCTAGAGGGCTGCTGGTGGGCACAGCGCAGTGACGTCATACTGGGATTCAGATTCGACCTCGCCATCCCTGGGAGCTGCGAACTGCGAAACTGTCGCCACTGTCGAGAGCTGCCTGGGGGCCGTGCGCAGTGACGTCATACGGGGATTCCGATTCGACCTCGCCATGCCTGAGGTGCTGCGAGCTGCGAAACTGTTGCCACTTTTGAGGGCTGCAGGGGGGCGCAGCGCAGTGACGTCATACGGGCATTCAGATTCGACCTCGCCATGCGTGGGGTGGCTGCGAGCTGCGAAACCGTCCACTGCCGAGGGCTTACTTGTTCCCTGCACTAGTTACGGTAGGTTCGCGCCATGTCGACCAGCGGCGATCCCGCCGCCGGGGTTCAACTTTGAGAGCGCCGCCGGCGAACCAGGATGTCGGCCCATCGTGGAGCGATTTGGCGTTTCTGAAGCGGCCGATCGTTCAAGGTTCACCGAGCGCGTTTCATTACCCGCAAAGTACCAGCTCGCAGACGTCCGAACACACAGGTTTGCCTCGATGTAATATATACACATATATCTATATCTCTCTCTATATATATATATATCGTATATCCCTCCGCGGCGGGTCCAGGCCACTTGCGAGTAGCTAATTTGCGATTCGTGGAACGCGCTTGTTGAAGAGATTGAACGATTCCCGCGGTGTCGGGAACCAACGCCGGGGTTATGATGTTCCAACCTATTTTAGCCTTGATCGCCAGAAATAGTTTCGAGCACCAGGAAAGTACCGAAACTTGAGGGTTTTCACGTGTCGGGCCCTGGGAGGCGATACTTGTTCGGCACTGTTTCGACACTTTTCTGGGTGTTCGAAATTATTTCTGGGATGTGGTCCGTAAGTACGATGGGCGCAACATTGGCGTAAGACCCGTTTTCGGTCGTCGCTCAGATGGCCCCGAACACCTGCATCGACGCGGGGAGAGCTGCGAGGAGAAGGAGGAGGAGGAGGAGGAGGAAGAGGAGGAGGAGGAGGAGGGCCCCACACACCTGCATGATGGGAGCAACGTGGCGCCGGGGCCGACACCACGCGAGCCTGCCGTCTGCACAGCGGATCCCTCGCGGCGCCGAGGCGGCCTCGGCCGCGGCGTCGGTTGTGGCCTCAGGCCGCCGGCTGGCCCGCCACGCGGGGGGGCCCGCCCCGCGACGCCCCCCCTCGCGGTCTCGGCCGCCGTGCGGCTGCGCGGCGCCTCGCCGCGGCACCCGTGCCTTGGGCTAAGTCGGGCCTGTGCCTCCACAGGAAGAATTTTTTGACTATTTTTTAGCTTTTCGTCCCAGATCCGCCTGTAGGGGGGCATGTCCGACCTCAGCCTTGGGCGGGGCCCCAGGGCCCCCCCCCCTGGCGCTTGGAGCGACGGACGTTTCGGACCGTGCGAGTGCCGCGCATTTTTTTTATATATATGTACGTTTACATATATATATATATATATATATATGTATATGAATATATATATATATATATATACATACATACATACATATATTTCTCCCTCTGGGACATACCGCGCGGCGTTTAGGCCCCAAACTCTCCCGCCTCCCCCCCATAACGTAACGCTCCCCCCCCTCAGTGCGTCCCCGGCCCGGCACTGCCGCAGTGCCTCCAGCACCGCAGTCTTGGGGTGGGTGGGTGGTACGTGGTGCCCCCTTCTATCCCCCCCGCCTCCCCCCCATAACGCCCGTTTTGGCTGCGAATCAAAGATGCGCTCCGTCACTCCGCCGACCAGGGTGCGATGCAGCAGCGTGCGCATTACCCCTTGACACGGGGTCTCGATCTTCGTCGACGCATGGACGCCCCTGCCCCGCAGGGTCTCGAGGGCTTCGAGACCGGGAGTGGGGACGAGGGACTCCAGCCACAGCGCGCCCACGCGCGTGCCCGCCGTCCTCGCCAGCCTTCGTTTCCCCCCCTGCTCTCAAGTCGGGCATGTCCCTCTACAGCAGGAATGTTCAAAGGTAGTTGAGAAATCGTATGGGGGCGATTTTTAGATTATTTTCAACTATTTTTGATATTTGTTGACTATGAGGCTTCCGCCAAGAGGGACCCCCGCCCCGCACGTGCCGTGTGCCAGCAGCCGCCATTCCACTTACGCGATCTTCCTCTCGCCTGTGCCCCCTCACCGGCCGGGCCCGCGGGGCAAGGTGACGATGTGGGTCCGCTCCTACTACACGCACCCGAGCGAGGCCCGCTTGCCGAGGGAAGAGCGGAACGGATCTGGCCGCGGATGCCCGAGCTTGGGCAGGCCTCGCCACCAAGATGGTCCCAAGACGAGCCAGAAGGGGGAGCTCGAACTGACATTCGGAGCTCTCCGCCCCAAGATGGCCCCCGAGACCGCTGGGGCCTCGCAAAGGTCCCGAAGATGCCCCCAGGAGGCACCTAAGAGGCCTCCGAGAGGCCTCCCAAGAGGCCTGCCAAGAGGCCCCTGAAGGCTTCTACGTTCTGAGGGGTATCTTGTCCACGACCCAGATGCACTGGCAGGAGGGGTCCAATGTCACTAGCTATCCAGCTGCCTGCCGCAAGATCCGCCAGCGTGCCAGCCCAGCATCTTGGGTGGCGATTGACGTGGAGCCGTAACGCGTAGCACCTCGCGTCCCGAGGCGCGGGAGAGCCGTAACATGTGACATGATCCTCCGCGTCACGCTCCTGTTGAACATGACTAGTTCGATTATGCTGATGATAATGATGATGCTGCTGATGATGCTGATGATGCTGATGATGCTGATGATTCTGATGATGCTGATGATGATGATGATGATGGTGGTGATGGTGTTGGTGATGGTGGTGGTGGTGGTAGTGGTTGTGCTGCTGATAATGATGGTGCTGCTGATGTTCAGGACGATGACACGGCAGATACTGCTGCCGATGATGGTGATGATGATGAGGATGTTGATGATGATGAGGACGAAGAGGACGCTGATGATAGCTATTGTGATGAGGATGGTGATGACGGTCATGCCGACGACGATACTCATGCTGATAAGTATGACGCTGCTGCTGATGATGATTATGCTGATGATAACACTGATGTTGCCGGTTATGCTGATGGAGATGGTGACGATGATGCTGATGCTGATGATGATGATGACGATGATGACGATGACGATGACGATGATGATGATGATGATGATGAGGATGATGATGATGATCTGATGATGATGATGATGGTGATGGTGGTGATGATGATGATGGTGATGCTGATGCTGATGCTGCTGATGATGATGCTGGTGATGCTAATGTGGGTTACGATGACGTTTGTGATGATTGTTCCGCTGCTGCTGCTGATGATGTTGATGATGATGCTGCTGCTGATGATGATGATGATGATGATGATGACGTCGAGTTTGACGAAGACGACGGCGACGATGATGCTGATGATGCTGCTGATGATGATGCTGCTGATGATGATGCTGATGATGATGCTGATGATGATGATGATGAGCATGATGATGACGATGATGATCAATCTGATGATGAATATGATGATGAGTGTGATGATGATGAGGATGATGAATCTGATGTTGATGATGATGATGATGATGATGATGATGATGATGTTGATGTTGTTGATGCTGATGATGATGATGATGATGATGATGATGATGATGATGATGATGAGGATGATGATGATGATGATGATGATGATGATGATGATGATGATGATGATGATGAGGATGACGATGAGGAGGAGGATGAGGAGGATGATGATGATGATGAGGAGGAGGAGGAGGAGGAGGAGGAGGAGGAGGAGGAGGATGATGATGATGATGAGGCTGAGGAGGAGGAGGAGGAGGAGGAGGAGGAGGAGGAGGAGGAGGAGAGGACGATGAGGTGGTGGTGGTGATGACGACGACGACAATGCGCTCTCATTTCTGTAGTTGATCCCCTCCAGTGCCCATTGTATTTGTCAATCGAAGCACCCCCCAGGGTTCGCATTGAGCCCCGGACTACAACAACAACGGCTCCGCTTGAGACATCTTCGCGATTTATTTAGAGTCGCTCTCTCGTTCGAGTCTTCCGCACAATCTGCTCCCGAGGGCGCCTCGCTCTCCACGCGCAGGAGCCGTGTGCCCGCACGAGAACCCCTGGCGACATCCTCAGGCCTCGTGGCCTCGCCTGGGGCTTCCTTGCACAATCTGCGGAGTCCGCTCCGATGCCCCGCCCGCCCGACCCGCCGGCCGGGGCCCGCCCGCCCGACCCGCCTGTGAGGGTCTGCCTGCCGAGCCCGCCTGCCAGGGCCCGCCCGCTCGCCTGCTTGGAAGTCCGCCCCAACGGAAGGGGTTCCTCTTCAGCGCCCCGACTGTAGTATTCGGGCACACGGGGAGATGGGCAGGGGGACGAGGCGGAGGGCGCGGCATCGAAGCCAGGCGGTGGGGGAGGCAGGCGGGCAGGACGGCAGGACGGAAAAGGGGGGGGAGGCGGGGAGGGCGTCAGAGGCCGGGGGGGCACAGCTCAGCATTCGGCATGCAGCGTGCGGCGAGGTCCGCCCGGCCCCATCGGTGAGGTCCGCCAGCCCGACCCGGCCCCTTCGGGTCTGCGCGCCCGCAGGCTCGGAGGGCAGCCCGCCCGCTTCGACGCCCCGCCCCGCCCGACCCGCCCGTCGAGGCTGGCCCGCCCGGCCCGCCCGCCAGGGTCCGCTTGCCCGACTCACTGTTCCTCTCTTCTCCTGGTCGTGCTGCATCTTTGAAGGGGCCCTGGGACACACAAATAAATATACAAATAAGAGGATTCCCCATATTTTCCTATATTTTCAGGGTTTTTGTATTCCCCCCCAATTCTTATATTTTCCCATATTTTCTGGGGAATCGACCGATTAATTGTGTCTGTGTGTTTGTTTCCCTCCTCAATCTTCTTCGCCCTCAATCATCTTGCCCCCCGTCCTTCCCGTGTCCTCCTCTCCCCGCTCTCTCTCCGTTCTCATCCTCGCTCGTCTTCCTGTGGTAAGAGGGGCGCGCCAAACAAGGAACATGCACCTCCCGAAAGGTGATCTTTTTCTGATTCATTGTTTTGCCGATCGGCGCGGGCCCCCTCCCGCTCCCCCCCGCCCCCTGTGGAGCAGATCTAGGCTGTTCTGGGCGCCTGTTTCAGGCAGGCGGCGTCTCCCCCACAGGACGCACTGCTGCAAGCAGTCGTATTCATTAGCAGAGGTCCGGAGCCAGACCCCCTTTCTCCCTTCCGCCCAATGTCGAAAGGCCGAATAAGAAGACGCCCACAAGGCGCGCGGTCGGAGACGGAGAGGGCGGGCACAGTATGGGGCCCGACCACAAGAAACCTTCCACAACAAAAAAACACCCAACCCTGAGACCCCAGGACGTCCATGGATCCATTGATCTCGGGTGGGGGAACGTCGCGCCTTCCACAGCAAAGCCGTCGCAGCCCCAGGAACCCAGGGCACCCTTAAAACGACGCGAAGATCGGGACAAAATCGGATCGGGATGACTCGAAGTCTCTGAGAATCGGCGGGTTTGGAGGATGTACTGGGCGCCGCGGCCGCTCCAGAGCGTTCCGGAACGCTCTGAGAGCGCTCCGGAACGCTCTGGAGCGATTTATCCCGATCCCAGCCCTGTTTTAATGGCCAGGACCCCAGGTAAGGGGGCCCTTGGCATCGCTCGGGCGTGTGCATTTTTCCTTCGGCGAGGACCATCGCGGAGCATCCAGCATCCTTGATCATGTGGCGAACAAGCCACGCACGAGACCGAAACAAAAGCACAGGGAATGGACGTCCGAGCGATGGCGAGGACCCCTGTTTTAACCCTGGAGGCGAGCAGGATGCTTCTCTGCATGGGCCCCCTCCGCATCGGAGGTCCCCTTGGGGGGGGGGGGAGGAACAGGCGGCGAGAACGGAGGGCCCCCCGCGGGCCCCGCAGGGGCCTGCCCCGCGGCTCCGTGCCTGTGAAGAGAGACTGTGTCGGGGGTGAACCTCCTCCTCCTCCTCCTCCTCCTCCTCCTCCTCCTCCTCCTCCTCCTCCCCCTCCTCCTCCTCCTCCTCCTCCTCCTCCTCCTCCTCCTCCTCCTCCTCCTCCTCCTTCTCCTCCTCCTCCTCCTCCTCCTCCTCCTCCTCCTCCTCCTCCTCCTCCTCCTCCCTCTCCCCCCTGACACGTCGATTAGTGAATTGTCCGTTTTCGGTTCTCGAGAGGGCGCCGCGGCCGTCGCTTTCCAGGCTTGCTCCCGCCAGGTTTGGGGGCCCGAGGTCGCTTTCAATAAGCCACGCTTTACTAAAGGGGGTTCTGTCCATCCCCGATTGTAGTGCTGAACTGGTCCCCAGCGGGTCATGGAGTGGGGGCCCATGCCAAGAAACACCCTGCTTGCTTCCAGGGTGCCCTGGATTTTTTGTGTTCGACGGCTTTGCTGCGGAAGGCGCGACGTTCCCACACCAGAGATCAACGGACGTCCTGGGGTCTCAGGGTTGGGTTTCTTGTGGAAGGTCTTTTGTGATCGGGCCCCTGCTGTGTGTGAAATTGGTGTGCTCCGGGTCGCGTCGTCTTTTTTCGCCGCGACAGTGGCGGCGCGCGCTTCTCTCTGCGCTGTGAGGGTGCTCTCCGAGCCGCGGCTCCTGGACTGGCGCCGACCGGGACGGGCCTTCCGGGTGGCCTCTCGAGGGCCTCTCGGGGGCATACCATATGGGACCTCGGCGCCTCGCACGGCCTTTTGGTGATTCCCCCCCCGGGGGCCCCGTCGAGGACCCATGGGTACCGTTTCCGTATCCTTGCTGGGAAATTGGAGCATATGCATTGCCAGTGGTGGTGTTTCCTCAATCCCAGGACTTTTTTGAGGGTCGGGGACGACGTCGGGGTGGTGTGGTGTATATTTTTTCAGTTTTCCTGGGGAAACAACGAAGAAGGTATAAACCAGGATCCCGTATACACCAGGATCCGCTTTCCTGTGCGAGAGCTAGTGTGAGGCCAGAAAAGGCGTCGGTGTGTAGAGTTCGGTTCAATTGCCTTTCGGGATCCTCACTTTTTTTCCTCTCTCTCTCTCTCTCTCGAGCCTCTCAGACACTTCGTGGGAGACTCTGAGGTACCTCTCAGGAGTTTGTTCTCAGGCTCCTCGTAGGACCCCCTCAGTCACCCCTTACGAACCTCTCGTCGATGTTATTATTCTCGTCGTTGTCGTGTTCGTCGTCGTCGTCGTCTTCCTTTTCGTGTCCACGCGTGGGGGTGATAATGCACCCTTGGCGCATGATCCTTCCCTTGCGCTTTCGGTTCTTGTCTTTCAGGTTCTACGGCGGCGCGCGGTTCACAGGAACCTCTGGGGGGGCAGTGCGTCCCGAAAGTCTGGCCCTCACGGGGCCTCCAGTTGTCTTCGAGGGTCTGTCTGGGAGGGGGACCCAGTGGAGGAGGACGATCTCCCCTGTGAGTCCCCCAGTTCCTTCGTGGAGGAAAAGGAGGAGGAGGAGGAGGAGGAGGAGGAGGAGGAGGAGGAGGAGGAGGAGGAGGAGCAGGAGAGGAGGGGAGAGGAGGAGGAGGAGGAGGAGGAGGAGGAGGAGGAGGAGGGGAGGAGGGGGAGGAGGAGGAGGAGGAGGAGGAGGAGGGAGGAGGAGGAGGAGGAGGAGGAGAACGAGGACGAGGAATAATGATAATGTATAGCAGCCCGCAGATGCGGATACGAGTTAGGGGGTGGCGGGGACGTCGGCAGTCTGCGAGTCTTTGGAGAAGCCCGCCGCAGGCGCCAACGTTTCACAGATCATGCAACGAGCCCGCCGCAGGCGCCGATTTTTTCGTTCAACCAATGTGGGTCGGTCGCGGGTGGGTCGCTGGTGGGTCGCAAATGGGTCGCGGCTGGGTCGCGTGTGGGTCGCGGGTGGGTCGCTGTTGGGTCGCGGGTGGGTCGCGGGTGGGTCGCGGGTGGGTCGTGTGGTGGGTCGCGGGTAGGTCGCAAGTGGGTCGCGGGGTGGGTCGCGGGTGGGTCGGGGATGGGTCGCGGGGTGGTTCGGGGATGGGTCGCGGGGTGGGTCGCGGGTGGGTCACGGTTGGGTCGCGGGTGGGTCGCGGGGTGGGTCGCGGGTGGGTCGCGGGTTGGGTCGCGGGTGGGTTGTGGGGTGGGTCGCGGGGCGGGCCGCGGGGTGGGTCGCGGGGCGGGTCGCGGGGTGGGTCGCGGGTGGGTCGCGTGTGGGACGACGACAACAAACAAACAACAACAGCGCAACACCGCAACAATCATAATCCTCACCACGGACCCCCACTTCAGCCACGCACCCAGGGACAATGCATGACCGTTCGCCCCCCACGCTCTGACTATTCAGAATAACAGTAGTACTAATATTGATTGATATGACTAATACTAGAACTACTACGCATACTAATGCTAATACTACGAAGAGTATTAACTAGAGTCAGAAGAATAATACGAATAACCATCGTACGATTAATACTTACCGGACTAAGGTTCGTACTATTTGGGCAACGCAGATTACTACGACACATCAAATTGAACCAAAGAAGACTAATTCGACTACGCGTGTGACGATGACTCATACCAATCCGATTGCGGCGCATCATAATACTAGCAGTAAGTCATACGAATAAGCAGCATAACACGAATCTCACTCGTAATGCACATAACAATAATAGTAATACTTGTAGTAATACGAGGAATGCTACTCCGACTAGTAAGATGAAGGAGAGGATACCAAGGATACGTACGGTTTGAATATGGATCGTACTTTTCAGAATGATAAAGTGAACCTGCATACGAATACCAAGAAGACGCAGCACAGTTATCATAACGCGAATACGAATAATCGTAGCACTGAGCAGACGGCTACTACGAACAATATGAAGCATAGCAAACTGATATAACGAAGACAAAGACTACGAATCAGGCGAACATAGTAATAATACGAATAATGCTAACACTGATACTAAGCAACATACTACTTAGACTACTAGAAGCTTTTGAAATTAACAGGAGGAGGACGATGAGGAGGATGAGGAGGAGGTAGGAGGAGATGGAGGAGGAGGAGGAGGAGGAGGAGAAGGAGAAGAAGGACGAGGTATGAGGAGGAGGTAAGAGGGAGGAGGTAGGAGATGAGAGGTGGGAGGTGGGAGGTGGGAGGTAGGATGTAGGAGGTAGGAGGGAGGAATGAGGAGGAGGAGGAGGAGGAGGAGGAGGACGAGAAGGAAGAGGAAGACGAAGAGGAAGAGAAATCTGATGATGATGATGAATCTGATGATGAAGATGCCACTGATGATGATGGTGAGAATGATGATGATGATCATGCTGATGATGACGATGATGATGACGATGATGATGATGCCGATGATGCTGATGCTGATCCTGATGCTGATGCTGATGATGCTGATGACGATCACGACGATGATGCTGGTGATGGTGCTGATGGGGGTGGTGGTGGTGGTGGTGGTGATGATATGATGATATGATGATGATGATGATGATGATGATGATGATGATGATGATGATGATGATGATGATGATGATCATTGAGATGATGTTGATGCTGATGCTACTGATGATGCTGATGCTGACGAATATGCTAATGCTGCTGATGCTGATGCTGATGCTGATAATTATGATGCTGCTGCTGATGATGATGATGATGATGCTGATACTGATGCTGATGCTGATGATGATGACGACGATGCTGCTGATGATGACGATGATGCTGATGATGATGATGATGCTGATGATGATGCTGATGATGATGCTGATGATGATGATGATTATGATGATGATGACGATGATGATGCTGATGATGACGATGATGATGATGATGCCGGTGATGATGATGGCGATGATGTTGATGATGATGACGGTTAAGATGATGATGATGATGGTGATGATGATGATGATGATGATGATGCTGATGATGATGATGATGATGACGATGATATGACGATGATGATGATGATGTTGTTGATGATGCTGATGTTGATGATGATGATGGTGGTGGTGGTGATGATAATGATGATGATGATGATGATGATGCTGATGCTGATGCATGATGATGATGATGATGATTGATGATGATGATGATGATGATGATGATGATGATGATGATGATGATGATGATGATGATGAGCTGCTGCTGCTGATGATGATGTGATGATGATGATGATGATGATGATGATGATGATGATATGATGATGATGATGATGATGATGATGATGATGATGATGATGATGATGATGATGATGATGACGATGATGATGACGATGAGGAGGAGGAGGAGGAGGAGGAGGAGGAGGAGGAGGAGGAGGAGGAGGAGGAGGGGGTAGAAGGGGGTAGAAGGAGGTAGGTACAGGGCGAGGAGGGAGGGGCGAGCACCGCGCATACTCCTGCGCTATCGTGGGGGCCTCTCTGCTGACTCTTCTTCTCTTTGCCGCGCCTGCTCCTGCCGCGCAAGGCTCTCCGCTTTGCTGCGAGATTTGTCCCAGCGCGATGTCGTCCCGATCCCGGCTTCTCGGTCTCGGCCTTCTCGGCTCGGGGGCGGCAAAGAGGGAGGGGGGTGATGACTAGGGGGAGTGGATCTCATGGCGGGGGCCATGACCTTTCCTCGGATTTCATGGCGCCTCTTCTTCTTGTTTCATCGCGCTCCTGGCCCTCCCCCTGGGCCGCGCACACGCCGCCGGCCATGATTTGCGCCCCCCCCCCCTCCCCCCACTTGGACGCCCCCGTCTCGGCGGCCACCGTTCGGCGCGGGCGGGCCCCGCCCCCCCGCGAGTTCGAGAGCGAGCTGCTGGCGGCCCAGCAGGCGGTCCCGGGGCACGAAGGCGCCCCGGCTCGGCGGGCGGGCGCCAGCGGAGGTGCGACGGTCCGTCGTTCGCCGTCCGTCGTCGTCGTCGTCCGTCGTCGTCGTCGTCGTCGTCGTCGTCGTCGTCGTCGTCGTCGTCGTCGTCGTCGTCGTCGTCGTCGTCGTCCGTCGTCCGTCCGTCGTCCGTCGTCCGTCGTCCGTCGTCGTCCGTCGTCCGTCGTCCGTCGTCCGTCGTCCGTCGTCGTCGTCGTCGTCGTCGTCGTCGTCGTCGTCGTCGTCGTCGTCGTCGTCGTCACGTCGTCCTCGTCGTCGTCCGTCGTCCGTCGTCCGTCGTCCGTCGTCCGTCGTCCGTCGTCGTCGTCGTCGTCGTCGTCGTCGTCGTCGTCGTCGTTGTCGGCCGTTGTCCTCGACCGACGTCGCAACGTCGTCGCCGCTCCCCCTCGTCGTCGCCCCCCCCGTCGTCGCTCGTCGTCCGTCGCGGCGGTTAGACTTCGTCGTCTGCGGTTCGTCGTCGCCTGCCGGGGCCGGCGAAGGCGCGGCGAGACGCCGGGGGCCCGGTGTCCGACGTGCACCGCTCTTCGGGGGATCGTCGGCAGGGTCCGCCTCCCCCTCGGGGTCGTCCAGCAACGGTGCGCGGGTATCATGCTGCCGTAGCGTCAAGTCGGGCACGTAGTAAAAGTAGTAAGAAGTAGTGAAAAAGTAGTAACACATAGCCTGGGGTCGTTTTTTTGTTCTTTCTCATTTTTGTTTGTTTTTTTTTATGTTGTTTTGTCTTTGGTTTAATATATATATATATATATATATATATATATGTATATATATATAGATATACATTCCGTCCAAAGTCCGCCTGTAGGGAACATGCCCGAGTTAACCGTAGCGCGCAATCCGCACCCTAGCAGCCCTGCCGTGGCCACGACCGCAACCTGGGATCCGAGGCGCCGCCGAGCAAGAAAGTGTGCGCGTGGGTATCATTCGGGTATGGCCAGGACCCCAGGTAAGGGGACCCCGTTAGTGGTACCAGGGAAACGCAAGACCCGAGTAAGCCAGAACTCGGGTTGCCGACGTTTTTTTGACGAGCGCGTCCTGGATTTTGACGGTCCAGTTTTCGTGGGATGTCTGCAGCGGGAGTTCGCGTCAAATTTCAGATTGGGCCTCGTCATTTTTATGATGGCCTCGTCGGGCCAACCCGAGTCTCCCGTACCCGAGTCTTACGTCTCCCCGATGGTAGGACCCCGCAGCCCTTGAGCTGGCCAGAATCAGAAAGCCCAGCTTGCCGCAGCCGGTGTTTGTTCTGGTGACGGCAGTTCCGGGTTCGTGGAACGGGGCGGGAGGGGCGCCCCCCAGTTCTGGCAACGCCCGAATCGTGGCCGCGGCCACGGGGCCTCCCTGACCCCGTGGTCTTCTCGTCTGGTCGTTCGGCACGCTCCCCGGCCCCCCCCCCCTCGTCCGCGCGCGTGTCCCGGGCCACTCTAGAGGTAGGAAAGGGGGGTGGCATAAAGGGGTATGGTGCCAATGTTGAGCCGGGCGATGCCATCTATCGTTGATAGCATCTCGGTTTCCACGATTGGCACCACACCCCTTTCTGCCATGCCCCTTTCCGACCTCCAGAGCCACAGTGCGCTTGCCCCCCCCTGCCTCAGCCTTCCTCCAAGCCCCCCTCGGCGCTCTTCGGCCGCACCCGGCCCTCGTCCTCGCCGTTGTCCTCGGCCTCCGCGCCAGGCCGTCGCGGCCTAAGATCTCACGGGTCGCAGGCCGAGACCTGTCCATTTGACCCCGCTGCACTCCAGAATCACGCGTACATCGCCTGGCCTCTTGCTCCGAGGCGAGCCGCCGCTCGTTCCAGGATGCCCTGGGTCGAACACGTCGCACAGGATCGCTGCGGCTGAGCGCTGGCCACAAGAGAGACGACGCCGACGGCAAGGGAGACGGGCGGACGAAGGCTTCCACTGTTTCAGTGATTAACGGCCCCGATCGTCAAGCTAGAGAGGAAACGAGCACGTACGTCGAGGGGCGCGGAACGACTCTGTGCGAGTGGGCGGACAGCGTGGGACACAAATGCGATCGGCATCAATACTGCTCAGCGCCAGATGCGGGCGGGACCGTGCGGAGCGGGGCACGTTTGAGGGTCCTGCGGTCACTGGGGCTGGCGCTCCGGGGGGCGCCCAAGAGTGGGGTGAGGACTGGGGGCACGTGGATGTCATGGCCGGGGCCACGACGTTTCCCCGACCTGCTGGCTCCTGTCTCCTCCAGCACGTGCCCCTGGGCTCCCTTCGCCCGCGCACGCGCCTCGTGGCCTGGGTGCGCCGAGCCCCCCCTCTTCAAGCCCCCCCTCTCCAGTGCCTCCGCGGGCCCTGTTGCAGCCGAGTCTCCCCCCCCATCCCCCTGCCCTCCGCCCTCCTCTGCTGTGCAGGCTGCAGACCGCTGCCAGCGGTCAGGTGCAGACGGCTGCCAGCGGTCTGCCCTCGAAGGCGGATTTGTCGACGTCCCCGCTTGACCGCGACGGCGCTGCGCGCCCATTGCATTCGTCGGGGCAGCTCTTCTGAGGCGGCACCCTCCACTTCCTCCTCGCTCCTCCCTCCTCCTCCTCGCTCCTCCTCGCTCCTCCTCCTCGCTCCTCCTCGCTCCTCCTGGCTCCTCCTCGCTCGTCCTACCTCCTCTTCGCTCCTCCCGCTCCTCCCGCTCCTCCTGCTCCTCCTCCTCCTTCTCCTCCTCCTTCTCCTCGTCCTCCTCCTCCTCCTCCTCCTCCTCCTCCTCCTCCTCCTCGCTCCTCCTCCCGCTCCTCGCTCCTCCCGTTTCTCCTAGCTCTTCCCTCCTCCTCCTACTCCTCCTCCTCCTCCTCCTCCTCCGTCCTCCTCCTCCTCATCCTCCTCCTCATCCTCCTCCTCCTCCTTCTCCGCATCCTTTCTCCATCGGTCAGGCCTCGGCGCCGCCGCCGCGGCGCAGGGCCCGGCGCCCGGGTCCGGCGCGCCAGGCGCCCTCCGGCGCCCAGCGTCGCGCGCGCGCGAGCGGTGGCTGCCGCGGAGGTGGCGGTCTCTCCAGCCGTCGGCCGTGCGCGTGAGGACGTGGCCAGAGAGGCCAAGAGCAGGAGACGAGGAGGAGGAGGAGGAGGAGGAGGAGGAGGAGGAGGAGGAGGAGGAGGAGGAGGAGGAGGAGGAGGAGGAGGGAGGAGAGAGGAGGAGGAGGCGGAGGAGACGACGCCTGAAGACCTCGATCCTCAGGCCCTCGACCCCTCGGGCCTATCCCGGGGCGCGGCCTGGCCAGGATTTGGTGGAGGATCCGGCCGTGGCCACCAGGAGGCCAAGGCCCCAGATGCCCAGCAGAGGGGAAGGCTCTCGACAGCTCGCGATCCTCGATCCTCGACCCCGGGCCCCAGATGCCCAGCAGAGGGGAAGTCGCTCAAAAGCTCGTGATCCTCGATTCTCGACCCCGGGCCTCGACCCCGGGCCCAGGCCCCAGATGCCCAGCAGATGGGAAGACGATCCTCGACCCCGGGCCTCCCGGGGTGAGCTCTGGCCTGGATCTCCGGGGGAATCCAGTCTCAGTGTTGCTCAGAAGAGGCCCCCAAAACGGCCAAGGAGCACCAGATCCTCGAACATCGATCCTCGATCCTCGAGCCGGGCGCGGATTCGCCAGAGTAACCTTTTAGGACCCATTCCGATCCGATCGATACAACTGATAGTTACAGGTACCGGCCGGCTCGATCCGATTCGTTTCCGATAATCTGCCACCAGTTTGATGCGGCCCGATGCTTGCATGGCGCTGTTGCGTGCTCTGGCGTAGCCAGTCCGTTTCGACTTGGTTCTCTGCCGACGCGGTCCGACCCGACGCGCATTCCGATTCGATCCGCTGTTCCGATTCGATGCTGACTAATCTTGCCTTTGGTGCGGGGCTTCCAGGGGGCGCGCGGGGGGGGACGCAAGCCCAGACACGTAGGCCGCTAATGTTGGAGGCCCAGAGGTTGGCACCAACACCAACATCGGCGGTGTGCCTCCGCCGGAATTGAGGACCATCTTTCTCCAGTGAAGGCGGCCCCCTGTGTTGGTGTTGGTGCCCATGTCCATGCCTCCAATTCTGGCGCATCGCGTGCAGGGCCACTCTCGCCGAAAGGTCACTCTTGCCCAGGGTCACTCCTGAGTGAGGCCGAGGCCGCCGCGGTGCAGCTCTGGCCGACTTCCTCGCCCGCAAAGGGCCGACGACGGCGACGGTACCGCAGGTTCGAGGATCGACCTTGCGATCTGGTCGTCGCACTCTCCTGCGCACCAGGAGCTTTACCACAGTTCTGGGCCCTGAACCCTCGCAGCAGATCAGTTTGGCTCGCGCAAGGCCGCAGAGAGATGGGATCTCGGGCTCCGGTCGTGTTTTTTCGCGATGTTGTATTTTTTCCTGGCGCCGGATCTCTGCGGAGGTTCGAGATTTGTTTGCGTGTTTCCATTTTGTTTTAGACTCTCTCGTCGCCGCGGCTGGATTCCCCTCGATATTCTGGCCAGGTCGCACCCCGTAATGCTCTGGGGGTCGGATTCTGAGGGCGGACCCTCACATCCCAGCGATGTGAGAAACATCTGGTTTGTTAGACCGCCCCCGTATACGTAGACAAGTCATACGGCTCCGTACGGAAGGGGCGCGCGCAACCAAATCAAAACATGCTGTCTCTTTGTGTGTGGGTATATATAGATGTATATACACATGTATATATATGTATGTATGTATATATGTATATATGTACATATATTTGTATATGTATATATATATATATCTGTGTGTGTGTGAGTGTGTGTTTGTATTTTTGTATATAGGTATAGAGGTGGGTATACAGGTGGGTGTATACAGGTGAGTATATATATACACACATCTATATATGTATGTGTGGGGAGGGGGTCCCAGGGGCACTGGGGAGCACTGTTTTTGTACACGCTCGTTTTGGACCCGTCGTGGGGCGCCAAAGCGCGTCAAAGGAGGTGAAGAGGGGCGACAGAGGGCCCAAGAGACGTCCAAGAGGACTCCAAGACGGCTCCAAGCGCTCCAAGAGAGCCCAAGACCGCCCACGAGCGTTCCAAGATGGCCCATGATGGCTTCAAGACAGCCCGGGAGGGCCTCGAGACGGCCAAGAGGCTCTCAAAAGGAGTCCCACGAGGCCCTCAGGAGGCGAAATGTCAAATTTCTCGAACAAGTTTTGAACTGTTTTCCGTGTTCTGGTCTTTCATGCCTCCGACGGACCAGGCTAGCCCACGCGGCCAAGAAATCGGCCCAAGACGGCAACATAAGACGCATCGGACGGCCATCCATCATATCGTTCGCCTGGCAGCAGTCAGCGTGGCCCCTTTCCGCCATTCGATCCAGCGACCACGTTGCAAACATGCGAATGCAGCACGCAATGGTATTGAACACACGCGCTGGTGCCTGGTTGAAGTTACCTTCTCTCTGGTCATTCAGTGTTCTTGTTTTGCGCGCTCATCAGCAGACAGCGATCGCGCGATGCCTCCTCTTGAGTTGCCCGCCACTCGCGATTTCAAGGATCCAGATTTCTAAGATGATGCCCAGGACATTACCATCACAACACTGGGGAGACTAGAACCTAAGTGTGTGCGCCAAGCGCGCGCATTGTTCAGTAGTATACAGATGAACAGTTACATGTATATATGTGTATACTTGTATCAGTGTATGTGTAGGTGCACGTATCATATCTGGTTATATGTAGAGCGATTCGGCACACCATACGCGTACATATAAACCATAGACGCAATATAAACATCGGTGTCGCACCCCTCCAGTATCCCCCACACAACTGAAGCCAGCAACATTTTAATTCATCGTATCTTTGTGAGTCTTCCGCTCTCCTTCCTCTTGTCTTCTCGCTCTTCTACCATATTCGTGTCTTCTTGTCAGTAGCCTGTCATGAACGCTGAAGACTTGATATATTTTTCAGAGATTTTGCTGCAGACTTAAAGCGCGTAAGGAGAAGCTGAAGCGCGAGAGGAGAGCTGACGACCTGAAAGGGTTCCATATTTTCCAGATAGTATTCACTGCTTCGCGGGGGACGCGGCCAGACAAGCCCGCCTTCGGACGCCGTCTTGGGGCCCTCAAAGGCTATCTTAGGGGTCTCTTGGACCGTCTTGGGACCCACGGCCATATTGGGCCGTTCTGGGCTCCTTCTTGGGTCGTCTCGGGGTGCCATCTTTGAGGTCTCTAGGGATGTCTTGGCTGTTTTGGGGGACTCTTTGTGCCTTCTTGTGGCCTTCTTGGGCTGTTTCTTGGGCTGTCCTGAGACTCCCTTGGGGGCTTCTGTGGTCGTGCTGGGGCCATGTTTGAGGCCTCTGGGGCTATCTTCGGGCGTCGGGAGCCCGAGGAGTCGAGAACGCCAAGGTCAGCCCCCAGACCAAAAGGGCATGACTTCTTGCTGCCCCCTTGAGGCCCTCTTGGGGGCCCTCGTGGAGCCTCCCTGGGCCGGCTGGAGCGCCTCCTGGGCCGTCTCGGAGCGACGCCTTCCGGGGCGCCTCTCCCGCTGCGCCGCTGGCCGCGCCGCTCGGCGTGCGGCCGCGTGCCGCGACGTGATCCGTACCGCAAAAGGAGGAACAACCGCCTGGACCCGATGTACGGTAGATTTGCGTCGTGTCGACCAGCGGCGACCCCAGCGCGGGCGTTCAAGGTTGAACGCCGCCGGCGACCCAGAATCGATCGATGTTGAACGATCGGACGTTGCGGCAGCGGCCGATCGTTCAAGGTTGAACGATCCGTGCGGTGTCAAAAACCAACGCTGGGGTCGGCACGACACGAACCTGCCGTACCCGGCGTTTGCTGGGCGGCCCTGGGCGCTTCACTACACAGCCCTGCCCTGTCGGTCGAGTTCCTTCCTGGAGCGCGTTTGCCAGACGACTTCGCGTGTCGTGGTTGTTCGTATGCCAGAATCCACCCCCATACGAACAACCACGACACGCGAAGTCGTTTGGCAAACGCGCTCCAAGAAGGAATCGAGCAGGGCAGGGCTGTGTAGTGAAGCGCCCAGGGCCGCCCAGTAAACGCCAAGTATATCGGGTCCAGGTGGTTTTTCCTCCCTTGGGATACGGATCAGGTGGATTTTTGGACCTCCAGCACCGGCCCGGCTGCGGGCAGCAGCCGGCCGCGTGGCCAGGGGGCGCGCGCTCGCCTCCGCGGAGCTCGGCCGTCGGCAGACCCCCGGGGGGCAGAGCACCCCTGGCGTCCACGGAGCAGTTGCGGAGGGCGCGGGCTCCATCCTTCGGGGGTGGACAGACCTCCTACCCCGCCACGCCGATTAGTGAATCGGCCGTTTTCGGTTCGCGAGAGGGCGTCGCGGCCGTCATTTTTGCGGATCCAGGTCCGTCGGTTTCGGTCCCAGGCCGTTTTCACAAAAGGGAGGTCTACTAAAGGGAGGTTTGTCCACCGCCGAATCCTCAGCGCCACCTGCTGGCGCGCCGCGTGCTCCTCCGCCTGGTTCGGTAGCACATTCCGTCTTCGGCGTCGGCTGGCGCCGCTTGGCGTCTGGGAGTCGAGGGGATCGCGCCGATGCAGCGTCGGCTGGCGTCGACCGGCGTTGTTTCAGCGTCGATTGGCGTCGGCAAGCGGCGAGGTGCGTCGATTCGCAAGAGCCGGCAGCAGATGGTATGGGAGGCTCCCATGAGCTGCCACCGAGGCCTGGGCTCCGCCCAGGCCTGCCCCCGCCCTCTCGCCTCGACTCGGTGCTCTGCCGCCTCCCAGGGGCTGCTCGCCGCCGCCGCCGCTCTCTGCGCCGCCGCGACGCCGCAGTCCTCTGCTGCCGCGCCAGCGGCCGCGGCACGGCTGGGCCCCGCAGCGCGCAAACTGCTCCGCGCGCTACTCGGCCTGCTCGGCGCGAGCTCCGCGGGCACCTCTGCGACAAGAGCTCCAGCAGACATCGTGCAGGGCGGCGGCCCGCGCTCGTGCACGGCGAGCCTGCGCGACGGCCGCGCCGAGCCCGGCGAGGCACGACGTGCTGGGTATAGCGG